TTGACATGACAACGCAATTTATGTCTAATTATTCTTTGTGCTTATTGTTGGCGTGAGTTGTAAGTAGGAGATTTGTTATTACATTTTTTTATTGAGTTGACCTATTCCAGTGTAATTAGGTTTTGATTATTTTTCTTGTAGCATAATTCAATTTAGCCTTAATTACATATATATTTGCCTCAATATGGACAAGAATAATATATGAAAATTTCCAAATACCATTATCCTCCACCTTGAACCTTTGCGCTCACTTCGACCCAAAATCTAAACCTTAATTAATGTTAGATTGCATCTAGGATTTACGTACCTAGTAGTTGCGCACACCAACTAGGATGCAAGGGTAAATGTTTTTATTCACTTGAACTACAAGCCCTACTCTCAAGATCAGCCCCAGTCACAGGAACCTCCTGAATCAAAGGAGGTAAGCTATCAATCCATTTATCCTTCCAAAAAAGAACCTGATCCCCATCACCAACTCTCCATTTCAAGCCTTTAGTCATTGGAACTAAAAACAACCCCACGCCAAGTTGAAGAACAACCTTGCCTTGGAATCATATCAGCTTCAAGGATTGACCTACCTTTAAGGTACTTGCTTTCGAATACCTTAGCCCAAAGACCATTATCTCTTTGGAAGAGCCTCCACCCAGTTTTAGCTAGAAGAGCTTAATTCAAATGTAGAGTTTTCTTAAAACCCAAACCACCTAAGCTTTTAGGTCTGCAGACAATATCCCATTGACAAAGGTGAATTTTCTGTTTTCTCTCACTACCCCCCCAGAAAAAATTTCTGTTAATTTGGTCAAGTTTCTCACAGATACTAATTGGTAGTTTAACAGTTTGCATAGCATAGACAGGAAGGGAAGAAGTCACAGAATGGATCAAGGTTGCTCTGCCAGCCAAAGAGAGCATCTTACTCTTCCAGGAGGCAAGTCTAGCATGAACTTTATCAATCAAATCCCCTTAAGTAGCTTTGGTTACCTTGGAATGAATAAGAGGCATTCCCAAATATTTGCCCAAGTTAGTCCTGAGCGGGGATCCACAAATGAGACTAATCTCCATAGCTACTGCCCTACAAGTATTAGGAGAGCACAAAACAGCGGATTTATCAAAATTGACAGTTTGGCCAGAAGCTTGACAAAACATCTCTAAACAATGCTTCATGATCCTAGCTTGTTTTGGAGTAGCTTCCCCAAAGAGGATCAAATCATCTACAAAAAATAGATGTGAAACAGGAAGCCCCGATTGAGAGGATTTAACAGATTTCCATTGCTTTCCCCTGACAGCATCAAAAATAATGTGTGATAGTTTTTCAATGCAAAGAACAAACAGATAAGGAGAAAGGGGGTCTCCTTGTCTAATGCCATTACTAGGAGAGAACGAGTTAGTGAGTTCCCCATTTACACAAACCTGGTACTTTACCGAGGAAACACACTGCATAATCAACTGTACAATGGGGGGAGGCAGCCTCAACTCAACAAGAACAAGCTCAATAAAGCTCCAACGCAACCGATCATAAGCTTTAGACAAATCAATCTTCCAAGCAATAAATCCTTTCTTTCCCTTGGCAATTCTGAACTTGTGCATAATCTCTTGCGCGATTAAAATGTTATCATTAATTTGCCTACCAGGGACAAAACTGACTTGGTTGGGGCTGATCAAACTAGGAAGAATAGGCCTGAGTCTGGCAACCAAGATCTTAGAGATGACCTTGTAGAGAGTAGAACATAAACTAATAGGCCTGAATTGTGCCATTGAATGAGGATTCTCAATCTTAGGAACCAGGGTGATCAAAGTAGAATTCAACCCCTCAGGAATGATGCAGTCCCTAAAAGATGTGCAAACCATATCAAAGATGTCATTACCACATAGTTGCCAATTCCTTTGAAAAAAGCAAGCTGGGAACCCATCAAACCCCCAATACTGAATAAGCTCTCTTTCACCTCAAGCATATCCACATTTTTAGTCAGCATATCTAAATCTTGAGAATCAATAGTAGGAAACAAATTGGGGAGATTTAAATCATTCGCATTACCTTGGGTCTGGGAAAATAAGCCAATAAAATAATTGACAGCAATTTCTTTAATACCCACAATTCCTTCAATCCAAGCACCACTCTCATTTTTCAGCCGCTCAATCTTATTCCTCCTCCTTCTAATTAGGGTAGTCATATGAAAGAATTTCGTATTCCTGTCACCATTTTGTAGCCATTGCACTCTAGATTTTTGGCGCCAGAACAACGCTTCCTGCTCCAAGACAGAGTTATAATCATCAGATAAAGTAGCCTCCAGCTGAAGCAGATAATTATAAGGCCCAAAGCAAAGAGCCTTTTGAATGCCAGCTAGTCTACGTAAGAGCTTAGCCTTCTTTTGCCTTAAAGGACCAAACACATTCAGATTCCAATGCTTGAGTGGTTCAACCAAAGCACAAGATTTTTCCAATGCAGACCCAGAACCAAGATCCCACTGTAACATAATGAAATCTTTAAATTGAGCATGTTGCAACCACATGGCCTCAAACCGAAAAGGCCTAAGGGAACGTGTGGAACAAAAACTAGATTTCTTTGGATACACCAAAGTTTAAACCTAAATTGAAACCTTACCCGACCAAATTTATGTGATTTGGGTCGGGTCTCAACTCTCACATGTACAAAACCGACATCCTTGCAGAAAAAACTTATTTAAAATAAAGAAAGAGAAACCCCGCCGTTCAAATTCAATCTCCTCACCAAATTCATCACAACCTGCGGTTCCTTCGCCCTTTTCGCCTCTCATCAAAACCCGCTAGCTCTGATTCGACATGGTCGCCGCGTCTTCAATCACAGACCCAATAAAGATGACACATTTCTCTGTAACTCTATGATCAGAGCCCACATGGATATGCGCCAATTCGCTGAATCTTTCACTCTCTATAGAAATCTTAGGAAGGACACGGGTTTCAAGCCCGATGGCTACACATTCACAGCTTTGGCAAAGTCGTGTGGTTTAGATGTGGCCATCTGGGAAGGGCAAGAACTTCATTGTCATGTTATTAAAGTTGGGTTGTGCTTAGATTTGTATGTGTCGACTTCATTGGTTGATATGTATGCAAAGTTTGGGAGGATGAGTTGTGCAAGTAAGTTGTTCGATGAAATGACGGAGACAAGTCGAGTATCATTGACAGCTCTAATTTGTGGGTATGCAAGGTTAGGAGATATGGGTAATGCAAGGAGGCTTTTTGATCAAATGTCTGAGAAGGACTTGGCTGCATTTAATGCTATGATTGATGGTTATTTCAAATTGGGAGATATGGGCTCGGCTCGAAGTTTATTTGATGAGATGACGGATAGGAATGTGGTATCTTGGACCAGTATGATGTATGGTTACTGCCATCATGGTGATGTACAATCTGCTAGATTACTCTTTGATGCCATGGCCGAGAAGAATCTAATTTCTTGGAATGTGATGATTGGGGGTTACAGTCAAAACAAACAGCCCCATGAAGCCTTGAAATTATTTCATGAACTGCAGTCAAATACGTCTCTTGAACTGGATGGCGTGACTGTTGTTAGCATTCTTCCAGCTATTGCAGATTTGGGTGCCTTGGATTTAGGTCGTTGGGTTCACAAGTTTGTACGAAGGAAGAAGCTTGATACGGTAATCAACATCTGCACTGCGCTTGTTGATATGTAAAACTACAGAGGCCCAAAGACTTTGATGAGATGCCTGAAAAGGAAACAGCTTCTTGGAATGCCTTGATAAATGGGTTTGCAGTAAACGGACATGGCAAGGAGGCACTGGAGGTATTTTTAGAGATGCAGTGCCAAAAGTTTATGCCGAACAATATAACCTTTATTGGTGTTTTGTCTGCTTGTAACCATTGTGGTCTGGTAGAGGAAGGGAAAAGATGGTTTAAAGGAATGGAGGGCTTTTTGCTTATCCCTCAAATTGAGCATTATGGTTGTATGGTTGATCTTTTGGGAAGGGCAGGATGCTTGGAGGAAGTCGAGAAATTGATTGAGAGCCTGCCTTATGAATATGATGCTAATGGAATAATTTTGAGTTCTTTTCTTTTTGCATGTGGCCATTCTGAGGATGTCACAAGGGCCAACAAAGTTTTAAAGAAGGCAGTCA